GGAGTGTAACGGCATTTGCTCCTCCGTATACCTCTACGCAGGCATCTATAGCTTCCAGGGGCTTTGGAATTGCCCCGGGGTCCAATAGGTGGTGATGAGCCCATCTCTCTTTGCATTGTACAGCTGTTAGTCCCATTGGATTCGTTCTCGGGCTCCATGAGAGATATGACACCCCAACTATAGCCAGGAGGAGTTGCTCTGCAGTAGCCTTCTGTGGACGACCTTCGTGCCAGGTGTGAAATTTGTGGGTTACCTGTCCCACTATGAGCGCCGGGAGCAGGATGGGCCAGTGGGCACTGTCTGTGACCACATTCAAGTTGGTAGCACGCCCTCCGCTCCATGCCACTTGTCAGATCAAGGCACTCGCTTCTTCCTTGTCTAAGGTGTCAGATCCAAATTCCACTATTAATCGTCCTAACCACATGGCCAAGGTTTCTTCTGGTTTTATCTTAGATTCTCTACAAAGTTCCTGAATTTCTGGTCGGGTGCGTGTGCGAGAGATAACAGTGGTATGCGTAGTACCTTCTTCATCCGCAACATGCTTCATCACAGCTATCGGGTGAGCTGCGGTAGAGAAAGAGTTAAATTATTCATCTGGGAGCGTTGGGTACATCCCTCCTCCCATTGCCCCCTCCCCGTGGCAAGGAGGCGGGGCCGTTGGGAACGACGTCACCTCAGGGGGCGGAGTCGCTAGGCGGATCCCCGCCGGGTCTTCTGAAACTCCACCCCTCTTTTCCGGGTTCCCCGGATGGCTTGCGCTTCTTTCAGCGCCATTTTCTCCTAGCGGCATCATGCGGCCGGTACTTTTGATAAGCATCGCTCCGGAGCTCTTTGCTGTCCGCTCCAGCGACTCCTTACCCGCCGTATGCATCTGTGCCTCTAAATTTGCGTATTCCCTTAGTAGACCCGCTACTGTACGGAACAGCACATTCATCATTTTTCCCTTCTTCCATTTAGTTAGACCCCATCTCGGCACATGATGGCCCTTAGTTTCCAGATCCTTCCAAAGCTGAACGAGGAGCTCATGGCCCCGCGACTCAGGCACCAAATCTGGACAGTTGAACCAGTCCGTGGAGGTGGGTTCCCCTCCTTCCCTTAAGTATCAAATGCATTGAGCAAACTCCTGAGCAGGGCTCAGCTTTTCTGCCTTCCGCGCTTTCAACCCGGCTAAGGATATGGTTGAGGTTTCCTCCAGGGGTTGATAATAGACCCGGTCACTCCCCATTATGCATCCGAACTCCCCAAGGGATAGCTTAGTTCTCCATTCCTTCACTACGGCTTCTTCTCTTTTTACGGAGAAGTAACCATCAATATTTCTTTCATCCCCTTCTACCGCCTGGTGGTAAGCGATATGCGCCCATAGATTGTTGGCATTCTCTACGTGGCGGGTCCCGGTGCACCAGGGGCAGCACCCGATTAGGTTCTTCTCTATCACCGTGCCCTTAGATCCCATCCTCGTCGCCATGTCTTGGACGGCCAGAGCCGACTTGAGGTGATCTAATAATTACTCATTTGTTGGGCGGGCTGGTCAATAGAGAGGCCGACAAAGCTTAACGGTTGTAAAACTTTACTTATGCCACTTGTGGTTGCGACGAAAACGGTCCGGTCGTCTGAACAACTATGTTAGTTGTTCCAGCTGATAAGGTTCAGGCTAGCTTATCCGTCCACAAATCAAGCCAGCGGGGAAAGGGTATGTCTGGGATTGCGCTCGGCGACAGGGAGAAGAATCGATAGTTGATCAGTCTATCGATCAGCTCAGCCGCAAGTCAGATCTCTTTTAGAAGCACTCTGCAGCGTGCTCAAAGTTCTCCGACTTGGGCAGAAGTCACGCGAAATTTTAAATGGCTAGCAAGCCAATTACTAGCCGCCACGTAGGAATAATTTAGAACTGGCCAATAGCGGGACACAAATTTGCATTCGAATGGTGGGAACTCTCTTGCACCAGGTTTTCTGCTGCAACAGAAAACCTTTACTTTGCAAGAGGCTCTCATGTGGCGGGAAAATTCCATCGTGCCGAGGCACCAAAATCACTGGGTTGTGACAAGGCACAGTGAGGTGGTTGGCTTAATGCAGAAACGCCCCCTACTGACTCACCACAGAATGCACCTTCAGAGAGTTTGCAGATGACAGCAAGCAATGGGGAAGAGTACATATGCTGGAGGGTAGGGCTGGGATTTACAGAGACTGATAAATTGGAGGGTTTTTAAAGGACATCCCATGAGGTTTGATAAGGACAAGTGCAAAGTCCTTTATTTAGGATGGAACAATCCCATGCACTGTATAAGCTGAGGACTGACTGGTTAAGCAGCAGCAGAAAAGGATGTAAGGGTAGCAGAGAACTATAAGCTGAAAAGGATCCAACAATGGGCTCTTGTTGCAAAGAAAGCTAATGGCCTACTGGGCTACATTAGTAGGAGCATTGCCAGCAGATCAAGGGAGGTGATTATTCTCTTCTACGTAGAACTGTTGAGGCCACATCTGGAGTGCTGTGTCCAGTTTTGGCCCTCCACTAGAGAAAGGATATGGACAAATTGGAGAGAGTTCAATAGAGGGCAACAAAAATGGTTAGAGGAGTGGGAGAAGCTGAGGGTGCTGGGCTTATTTAGTCTGAAGAATAGATGACTGAGAAGGGATTTAACAGCAACCTTCAGCTACTTGAAGGGTGGTTCCAAAGAGGATGGAGATAGACTGTTTCCAGTGGTGGCAAATGACAGAATAAGGAGCAACGGTCTCAAGCTGCAGTGAGGGAACTTTAGGTTCAGTATTAGGAAAAACTTGCTCACAAAGAGGGTAGTAAATTACAGGAATAGGCTACCCAGAGAGATTCTGGAAACTCCATTCTTGGAGGTTTTTAAGACTTGGCTAGACAAAGCCTTGGATAGGATGATATACTTGAAAGTGGTCCTGATTTGAGCAGGGGACTGGATTAGATGACCTTCTGAGGTCCCTTCCAACCCTAATTCTGTATGATTCTATGATCTCTTTCCAGGGGGAACAGGTCACTTGTCACACAGGAAAGGGCCCCTGACCAATGCCTGACAATGGTCAATTGTGTTTAACCCAATGAAGCAAATCAGCAGTTTCAAGCCACATCCCATCACAGCTGATCCACTTCATTTGGTAACATCTCTTTATACCCTCAGGCTGGAGGTTGCAGCTCATCCCCCCTGGAAACTCAGTAGCAATGAAATATAACCACCATTAGAAGCAAGACATTTTACCTGTTCTCTGTGGGGATGCAGTGGTCTCTGTCCAATCTGCAAGGAAAGAGAGAAGGAGAGTGGAAGTCTGAAGTAAGGTAGATATGACAGGTCTGTTACCAGTATAATGTCCCCTCTGAGAGTTAATATGGGAATTTGGAGCTGGAGACCCGGTGATAAGGAGGATGGAGTGGGGCCTGGGGGCGATCACTGCTTCATTTCTGGATTTGATACAAGATGACAGGGAGTTGGTGGGTAGAGTCCTCTTCTTAGCAGCCCTCTCAGGAGCACTGGGGATGCCCCCTCAGGAGCTCCTGATGTCCAGAGACATAGCCTGTGTGTTACCCCACCTCACTTGTACATAACACATATATTCTGTCTCTTGCTAGGAAAAGCTGAGAGCAAACAAGTGACACCTGCTGCAGAGCTGGAGTCAGATATTTTTAGCTTATATGTTCCAGAGAATAGTCTACAAAGCCACAAATCCAGGGGTTATCAGGTCTACCAGGAAGACAGATTTTTTTTTCTAACAAGACAGTAACAAATAAAAAGCATCTCAGAGCTGATAAAGACTGGAAATAGAACTCAAGACCAAGAACAAAGTGTTGGAAACAACCAAACAACACATATACTCACAGCTAAGAGGAACGCAGGCTATTATAAAGGATTTGAAGTCAGGTCTTACTGCCATTGGCACAAATAATAAACAGCTAGCCTGTGCACAAGTATACACTGGTCATGTCTACATGTGCACTTTAATGCACAGTAGACTATTCTACTGCCCATTCAAGTGGTGTGTAAAAAATCATGTTAATGCATTAATGTGCAGTACAATAGTCTACTGCATAAGCATCACCAGTAGTGGGCTTAGGGGAGGGCAAACTAGACAACCGCCCTAGGCCCCACATTTTAGGGGGCCCACATTTTTTTGGGGGGGTGAAGTTTTTTGCAAAGAAGTGGCTTTATTTGCATTTTAACATGACTATTTATCTAATTCCCCCAAAGAATACTAAAAAGATCCACATTACCACTGTGGTGGGTTAATATTTACCTGAATACAAACCTCTAAGGGACCCCAAATGTCTCTCTTGCCCAGGGCCCTGACAACCCTAAGGTCACCACTGGCATCACACACACAAAAAAATAAATAAATAAAAAGTTGCTTTTGCTACTGTGCATTAGCATAACCTAATATGCCTTTCTGTAGTACCTCATATTAGAGGTCCTACACTTAATGTGCTGTAGCAAAGGTGTATTAAGAAACATGTAGATGTGCCCACTGTGTCAAGAACAGGGTGAGCTAAGAGGAAACACTGGTGATCAAAAAGAGCCCTGTGTGCTTCTCTCCCTGTGGGACTGTGGTTACAGCTGTTCTTGAGTTACTTCTCTGTACTGAGGAGGGTTCATTCATGTACTACTCTCCAAGGATGGCACTGGAATAATAAGCCTTGACTCCTGGCCAGAAGTCCCTGTCCAATTTAGTTTGAGGGGAAACACGTATTAGAACTGGGGCCCATAGGACTCTTGTGCAGCAGCTCCTAGAAGTGTATTGCACTGACAGAGGGCCCCAATCCCCCTGGCACTGGCAAGGATTAGTTGCACACTAGCCCACTTGATCATGTATCTATGAGGGCTGGTGCTAAATGGGCTAATGCTTTTGAAACTTGGGTCCACAAAGCCTTTTTCCTATCCCAGCCAAGAGACTGCTGCTTTGGGGAGATGGAGCCTGTTCTGCCACTGAAACACATTCCCTACCCCACCTCAAAACATGTATCATGGATGAAAGAAACTGTCACTCACCGGTGCAGATCACAGCAGCATCTTCTTTGTGATGGCATCTACTGTCTCCTCAGGGCTCAGCACAACAGTCCCACAGAGATGACTCTGTTCCTTTGCAATTCACCTTCTCCAGCCAGATGGGGCCAGTCCCCTCCCCAAATGCAGCCTCACCCAGGGCAGACACAGCAGCTCCACAGCCCAGTTGTTTGCACACAACATCAGCATCTGCCATGTCCCATAAATCATCACACACTGTTCCCCAGGAGCTACAGTGCCAAACCTCCACTCTCCCCGAGCATCTGTCCTCTCTTCCCACAACGCGGAGCTTCTCTTTGTCTAGGAAAAGCAAAAACCTCACACATTACTGGGACCGCTGGGAAAGGCCTTTGGGGCCCAAGATGGAGACACAGAGAAGGACAAACATACCTGTGCATTTTGTGATGTTTGGACACTCAGCAAACTGTGTTGTTTTCTCTTTTTTTCCTAAGGAGAAAAAAAAGTGTGTGTGGGGCGGGGGGGGGGGGGGGGGGGGGGGGTGAGAGACTGATTTGGTGGCTGGAGAAACCCAGCCTCACGAAAGAGTAGAACTTACCAATAGGCTAAAACCTAATGTCACTCTTATATAAAATACACATTTAAATGTGTTTAGCATAATACTGAACACTTTTATATTCATCTCTTACTGGTAGGGAGATGCAGTTTTCTTGCATCTCCCTACTAGCTCTATTGCTCGATGAGCATTTGATCAACTGGATTTCATGCCATGGAATTTAACAGCAATCCATTACTTTGAATGTAAAATTTTTCCTTAGCTGAAATTAAGCCATTGTTCTGGGAATGCTTAGGAAAAAATAGTGTCACAAGAGCTGGTGTGACAAATAAAATTCTGATCCATAACTAGCTTCTTTAAACACATACTTTATAGATGCACATATGAATGCAGTTGCAGAAATGTGCACATGAACACAGATGGGAAGCTGATCTAAACTGAAACCTCAAAGTTTGGCCAAATGTAGGATTGTGCATTCAAATATGTCTAATACCCACAAAGAAACAAATATAACACTCTCTCAGGATCAAGAGTTTCTTGAATCTCCCTAAATGACTTCATTTTGGAAAGCCAGTTACATTTGTAATTAATGTCCATGCTTCTATTCAATGGAATATTCTCCATCCTCTCATACTCAATGAGAAATGTTTCTGTCATTGTTTGAAATACAGGACTGTCTGTACTGAAAAGCAAATGAAAAGCAATCCAGGACACTTCAACTGAGCATGTAAAGGATGTGTTTGTGCATACCTGCTTGTGTGCAAAAAAGTTCAAACTTACCAGTACAAGTAATGTGCGTCTCTTCTCCCCGGGAATTGCATGAGTGAGGGTCCCAAGGCTTTGATGAACACTCCCACAGGGAGCTGTGATGTTCATGGCACTGAATGAGGTCCAGCCACAAGGGGCCAGAACCGTGTCCATATGCAAAGTCTCCTGCAAATTGTCCTCCATTCCCACAGCCCAGTTGCTTGCATATAATGGCCACAGTGGCTTCAGTCATCTGATTAGAGCACACACTCCCCCACGTCCCATTATAGAAAATCTCCAGCCACCCAGCACAATCATCACCATTCACCAGCTTCAGATCCATGAACTCTAGAAGGAAATGCAGAGAATGTGAATAGTGGGGTACGTATTAAAATGCTGGAAATCACTAATATTCTTATATGTTACTGGGTCCAAGTACCACAGAGGTGCACTCCAAAGGTCAGTGATTCTTCAAACTATTGCAGGGCCATTAGAAATACAGAGAAAGGAATAGTGACCTATGAAAGTCATGATCTCCAAACATTTATAAGCAGAAATATATGAGATATAGCATTGACTGCCCACTCTAACCTTAGTGAAGGAAAACAATTTTTCCAATACCCTCAGGTGGGAACTGAAGATTATTAGGATAAATACAGCCAGGTATGTAATAAGGTGATCCTGGTATTTTAGGCAGAGAAAGGGAAAGAACTGTGACCCAACATCACCAGGAACTTGTCCTTCCTCCTGGAACTATTTGCCACATCTGCAGTTGAACATGTTGATCTTGGAATTTCTCAGTCATCTACAGGTTCACTAATGGCCCTTTTTGTACATGATACTTAGGATGTGTTAACTCCACTTAAAACTAGAGCATCCACATTTTCAAGCAGTGAAACATGGGATAAATGCACTCATATCACAGCAGAGTTAGGCCACTTGCAGAAGGAGTATCTCCAGGTCACATTATATAGGATGTGTTCTGCTATCATCTAACTACTCCGTGGAGATAATACAGACAATACAGACAATTGTGCGGGCCGGGAGCGGTCTGAGGCCCTCAGGGGCGCGCGGTGGGCTGTGGCCAGCAGCCCTGGCACGCGGGTTGGGGAATGCAGGCCGGCGGACTAGAATTAGGCACGGACGCGTAGCGGTTGATTAAAGATTATTTTACTTACACCGTAGATGGTCGCGGTGTAGGCAGGAAAACTTGCTTGAGTTGCAGTTACAGATAGGAAAGAAGAGCGGACAAGAGTTCTAATCTCGCGAACTCTAGCCCAATCCGGCTGAAGGCTCTAAAACCGCGAGCCCGTCGTGTCAACCGAAGAAAACAACTCGGAGAAGAGCTCTGGATACACTCACACGAAGTTTGCTAGGCTCCATGGAACTTGCGCGCAGGGAAGGGGTTCGTCGAGGGATCGCGCTCGGCGACAGGGAGAGGCCAGAGGTTGATCAGACCCCTATAGCCTTCTTAAGGTACACGCTGGGTCCTTAAGGACACACAAAATCACACCCTTGGGTTGTGACATCCCCCCTTGCTGAAGGCACAGCTCAATTATACCACACGCTCGTCACTCGGGTGATCGAGAGCTCTTAACACGGGTTGCTGAACTAAACGGGTAAACACAAAATTCACTAACATAAGAAGTTCGTCCTCTAGGGATCGAATCAAATAATAACCAACACAAATACATATACACATAACCAGATTTATAACAAAGAACTGCACGATCAGGGCTTTAGTGGGCGTCATGGTGAAGTCGCACGTCAAGCCCTCACTTCTTCCGATGATGTTATCCTTCTTGGGGCTTCTCTCCGCCACGCACTCTGAATTCCGGATCTGTAAACAAAACTCTCAGAAAATAAGTTAACGTATATCAAAATATTTATAAATTTTCCATGGAACTACAGTATTATTTCTAAAACATAATACAGGTGTTTGCTACTTTAAACTACCCTCTCTTGCACACACAACTAGATGAAATCGTTGAGGAGCCGTCTTCTAGTTCTTCTAGATAATGGAAACCTAACTCATAGGCCAGTTGCCATTGGCCTGCGTCCCCTAAAATCCGAAGTTGCCGCTTATTGAGTCCAGAACGCTGTAGGAGAAATCCAAACATGTATCGCTCCTCTGGTGTTCTCTGTGGCAA